GTTGAACTTATAAATCGGGCACAGTGAAAGACCAATAACGACAAATGATAAAAAGATAATTAATATGCTGCCATAAAAGTTATGTGAATGCACTCTCTCTTGCTCTCTCTCTCTCTCTCTCTTTCAATACTTTCTTCTACCATGTAGTACTGACCACAGCTGACCAAGGATAAAAGTGAAGCCAGGTACAGGGAGATGACTGTAATCCTTGGGACTGTGTGACTGGCCTCTCTGAGTGAATAATATTGAGCACCTACTGTGTGTCCGCCCTGTCTAAAGTGATTGGCAGGTACACACTTGGTCCTCTCACTACCGTGTGACGTGGACATTATCATCTCCATTTGACAGGCAAGGAGAGGGAGCTGGGGCTGGGGCCAGCCTGAGCCACCTGGCTAGTGGAGCAGGGTTTCCAACCAGGCTGCCTGGCCCCACGCAGGCTCAGGACGAGCCTCCTGGGTAAGAGGGCAGAGGCTGTGGTGTGTGCGCCCACCTCAGGTCCAGCTACTCCACTGAAGCAGTCATTTATGGAGTTTCATTTTTGGTAGGCATAACGCTGACCACTGCAGACACCGGGTGGTGTCAAAGTCAGGGCTGCACTGCCCACCAGAGGCCAGCCAGCACACTGGGAAGTGAGCTGAGTGCCGCAGGCCCCACATGCACAGGGGGCTGAGCAGCTGGGTGGATGGCACAGAGCTGCTGCCATTGACAAGCTCACCCCTAGACTCGCACAGGCAGCAATGACGGTCACACCCCCTGAAGTCATGCTGTGAGGAGTTTCTGACCGGCATGTCCCCCTCCATTTTTCTTGGTCTTGGCCATGGAAAGGACTGGATAAGGAGGAGAGCAGGGAAGGGAGCCAGGAGTAGGCAGGCTGGACACTCCCGCTACAGAGAGGACTGCAGAATAGCTGAAGAAAGGCTGCCTCAGGTCGCCCTGAGTGGGCGTCCCTCCCACTTGCTGTGTGTGCTCCCTGCAGACTCTGCTGCCCTCCTGCAAGTGGCCCTGGGCATCGCGACCACTCACCTTTCAGTCAGGCTTGGCTCATTTCCTATGGCCACGTGCAGTGTGCATCCTGCCTCCTCACCCACGCTTCCTCCTCCTGGTATTATTATTATTATTATTATTATTATTATTATTATTAGTGCTGGGGACTGAACCCAGCACCTTGTGCTTGCAAGGCAAACTCTCTACCAACTGAGCTATATCCCCAGCCCCTCCTGGTATTATTTATTGGTGACATGATTTCATTATTAGAAAGCCCGAAAGACTCTTCCCTCAAATGATACAATTAATACTAGAATTTGATTCACTGGAATCAAGATCAGTACACAAAGACGGATAAATTTCTAGACAATTGTAATAAATAATTAGAAAAAGAAGAATTTTTAAAGTATTGCTAAAACTTTTTTAAAAAAAATACCTATAAATATATCTTAACAATGAAAGTGCAAATTCTCTACATTGAAGAATACAAAGGTTGCTTTTAGAAATAACACCTGTCCTTCACGAACCCTCAAAAGCATGGAAGGAACACTTCCCCCTGCATTCCAAGGACAATGTGACTCCAAGACTGAATTCCCACGGGGGTGTCATGAGAAAAAATGCAGATGAGCATCCTTCCTGACTTGGTTGCATTCTCAACCAAAAATAGTGAGTCAAATCCAGCCATGTCACAAGCATTGGATGCTATGAACATGTGGGACTTATCCCTGCACTGCCAGGTTTGTTTAACTTCCCCCAAATCAATGAACATAAGACACAATATGAATAGAGTGAAGGCTGAAACCATATAATCATCTCAGTAGATGGAGAAACGATATCTAAAAACTCCAACACCTGTTCAAGATAAAACTTTCA